CCTCTGGGGAATAACCTAGTTGCCTTCTCATAGGGATGTACATGTGACGAAGGATGAAGTAATGAACCTGTAGGACGGCACCGCTATCCGTTCAAGTCCACCCTGGGACGTACAGGAAGATTCCATTTCTGCCAATATTCTCTAAAATTGACCGAATTCCACCAGTCCAAGTAAAACTCGCGATCTCCGAACCTGGTCAACTCCGCCAGGATATCTAACAAGACTAAGTAACTGAACTCCTGAGACTTAATTCCCCCTTACTCATCCAAGTGTGAAAAAGAGTGAAAAACATCAACAACCACAAATACAAGTTGGGCACAGCTAATTTCAATATCCTTTCCGATAAGATCCTGACAACAGGTGAATACCAACGGCCAGTCATACGGAGTAGATTACAGGGCACTTTGACGCCAACTTTGGGACTCCTTCAGCATGATTGGAGCGTTGAGGAGGACGGGCAACATATACCTACTCGTATGCAGTCATAAAATTCCTTCAGAAAAAATGACGTGTCGTCCTAACGACCCTGATCCAGATGAATCTCTGCGATGTCGAGAACTGTGATTGGGACTATCCCTACTACTACTACTACTACTACTACTACTACTTACTGTTGAATGATGATGAGTTGCAATGCGAGACAGAACAGTAGCAGAGCTGTGTACTTCAATAACCGCACCCACTGAGAATAACAAACTCTTGAGTACGGTAAGTGGAAGGAGTGGTACTCACATTGCGACGGGGATATTGGGGATACCACAGTTGATAACACAGAGTTGGATAGGCAATATACATGTACCTGTATTCCACTACTGCAATAGACGGTCATTCATATACTACATGTCCTTGAGTGAGAGGCACCGGGGGTACTTCTTCGCCATTTCTAGCGTCTCTTTCTCATCAACAAGAAGCATCTAATTATAGAAGCCTGTTGCTAGTGATACTGGACGGATGAATCTACCTCTAGTTTGTTCATCTTGACAGACCAGAACAGGTCATGACAGACATGCCAAAAACTGATACGATCAGCGAACTGAGATTTTCTTATACTAGTGGACTCACCTCCCAATTTTCATTGCGTAGGTGACCGAGCAGCACAGCAAGCCCATCGCGAGGAGACCATGCGGTGTTGTGCCTGATTGAAATTTCCGAGTAGAATCTTTCATAGGAACAAGACTTTACTTTCAACGGTATACAGTGGACCCAGCAAGACTGTTAATAACACTAAAAATTGCAGGGCGTTCGCCAGGCGACGGTCTTGCTGCCGAGGTGCGATGTACCTGGGGTAGTTACAGTACCACACCAACCTCAACTTGTTGCGTTCAGTTTATAGAGGCTCCATGGTATGCCACCATCTATAGAGAGCACCATACTACCTTTCAATGATAAAGCTGAGGGCAGGGCCGCACAGGATCAGAGCGAGGGTATAGACGAGGGGCAAGTTATGCCGGAGGTTGTCGATGGAAAGATACGCCCAAGGTCGCCAGAGCAAACCGTACTTGATAAGATTTTCCAACACCAACCGAAGATTCAATACCTAGCCACGGGAATGGGTCGAAGAGCCCTCAATAATGGCAGAACCGATGTGCCTACCACCAACAGCAAACACATGAGGTTGACGATACCACGATAATTGATGCCCCTGGCGCTCATACCGAGGAGGGGGACCTGAAAAGATACAGTCACAACAATTTAATGTCTCATAAACTCACACTGCATTTCCTATTAACGACTCGGCCAAGTGGATGGGAACGTCTCATTCGACCGAGGACCTTCTCCTTCTGAGCCTCCTTCTTGGCTTCCTCCCCAGAAGCAGTCGCATTGGACTTCTCCTCAGCCTATCAACCTCAATACACTATAATCGATGCAGTGACCCATCTACCTGTTCGGGGACCTTCTCAACACCACTTTGGTAGATGCTGCTGACTTGTTGGAATGTGCCGGCACTTTCCACCTCGACGCCCTGCAAACCCTTTTCCTCACTCTTCTTAGTATCTGCCATGGAAGAGTTCTCGTCAACAGGTTGTGGATTCTCCCATTCACCTTCAACGGACATCCCTTTCAAAGTGTCGGCAGCTTTAGATAACAAAAATGACATGAACGTTCAACTTAAACAAAATCTCACTTCACACAGCATCACTGATTTCTCCACTCCATTTCTTTTCAAAATAAAACTTCAATTTTGACAGTACACAATTTCAGAGACTTAGATCTGAACAGTGTATGCTTTCAGAAGCTCCAATTTCAAGAACACAATTAAGGAGGCAGATTTCGACATGACAGTCACGCCCATTTCGCACGAAGAAGCAACCGCTGCCCGATACGGTGATGAAATACGAGAAGGGCCTCAGTCACAAACGATCGCCCTCAGCTGCTTGGCGATGCAACGTGAAAGCAAGTACATCACAACTGATATGAAGTCCGCGGACTAGTGACACAACATGAGTACTTTCGCGAACAACGGCGGTAACTATAGTATCGTCAGCAGAGGTTTTCCCGACCGACCGACAGGAGCAGAGTTCGATCAAGCACAATCAGTGAGGGGGTACCAATAGCTTCACTTGCGATTGAAGTAATGGGGCTCTTCCAAGCTTCGTGGAGTCGCTTGAAAGACGTCATTTTCGAGATCCTGACAGACAACGGTTGCAATCCCGTCACGCGCCACGAAATTAAACTCGGCACCTGACTTTCTATTCGATCTACGCGGGTTTCGGATTCCTTCGAGAGCTTCCCGTGGTACGTATGATGGAAGAAGTTGAGAGAGAAGACGCACAACAAACCTACAACGGGATCTCAATTATCTCACACCATGGAGATTTCTTACCGCAGCAATGGACAAGGCCAGTAACAACAAAGTTAAACCTGTAGCCCCAATGGTCAACAAGAAGACCTCCTATTGCTGCAGAACCCGACCAAGAGAACATACGCACCTATATAACAAGAAGGAACTCTAATGTACGTCAGATAGTGACTGAGGCACATCCTGGAACGCTTCGCTCCGCTGTGCTCGAGGCGAGACGATCCCAATAAGAAATCTATGGATTTGAGACACCTCCCTCACGCGTTGAGTCTCACAGATACTAACTCTCTCGACTGGCATAACAGTGAGCACGGATGATGAGCTCTTACCATGTCAACAGCGTTGACCTTTCCTCGATGCTTCTGAGGTGTATGGTCCATGAGCATCGCTCGGAAGACTGGTCTTGAGCAATTCATAAAGGCCATCCTTATCACATACAAGACCAGTAAAATTTCTATCGGTCTTACTATGACCTGATGAGCACTCACACACCCAGCAGGCAAGCACCGCCAACCTACCATAGCCCACAGTAATAATACTGCGATCAACCTAATAGAGACAACAACTTTAACCGTGCCGAACCTCGTAGCCAGCTCGTTCGTTACAGTGTACGTCATAAACGCTACCGTCCTGACGGAATATAGATTCCTCATAGTCATCAAGGAGCCCCCCTTACAGAGTGGTCACGACGTTGAGGAAGGCCAGAGTCCTCGGGTCAACCCCATAGTCATTCTTAAACCATAGCTGGAAATATTGCACTGACATTCCCGAGCCCAGCGCGGTGATAACATCTTGTCCAAGGATAGCACATACAATGCCGATCGAATTCGTATAGGAGTAAATCAGCTGAGGAAGAAACGCGTCAGTAGAAGTCTTACATTCACCAACAGTTGGCACCTTAGTCGTGTGTGTGAAGGGTATGGTCACCTCGACCAGCTCATTAGGAGCGTCCTCACATACTGCTTTCGTGGCCACGACCCCGCTTGCCTTAGTGTCGTCCTTTTGGAAGAACATGTCAGCCACCATACCAAAAATTGCACAAGACGAGCCGAAAAGGAGCACCTGTGGTGAAGCATACCAAAACAACCACCTAAAACAACCCTACCTTTTTCAAGCACGGCAGCGTCCATGTGTTGCCAGCTAGGGAGAGTATTATAGCATTGAGTATAGGACCACTAGCTGTGGCCACCTGAGCCAGAGTCCACCTATAATAACAAGTTCCAGTAACAAGCCACGCCCTGAGGTCCTACCTCAACGATTCGAGCGGCGCCCGGTTCCCTGTTGACATCCCGTCCGCAATGAGCGTACTCAGGGTCGTCTCAGAGAAGGCAGTAAAAGTGCCCCAAAGGATATAAGACGGATAAGCTATCCATAATTGATCCGTGAGGAAAAGGGCAAAGTTCATGCCGATGTTGAATATACCCAGGAAGCCCAAGGCACGCATGAGGTCTGGTTTGGAGATGTTGTCAGCAACGACCCCTGCTATAGGAGCGCACGCCAGGCACGTGAGGCCTTGCACTGACGAGAATACTCCAACCATAGTGTTGGAGCCACCCGTAATGGTATATAAATACCCTAGCATTGGTATACCCGTCCAAATAGACTGACTGAATTTGATCAGGAACGTGACCAAGAAGCCGAGCTTGACGTTGAAGGACGCACAGAGGAAACTCCGCCACAAGAAAACGATGGGCTTCACGTCATCACGCGCCTGCGTAGTGGTAGTGGTAGGCTGTAACAAACTCTGATGAAGGTCTTGACGTCGATCAGGCATAGCAATAGAGGGTAGCGAAGTTACTATATCGAAAAAATCAGTACCAGAATGGTCCTCAAACTCAACAAAAAGACGGAATTATAAACTATCATTGAAAGTAAATTTATCACATAATTCAAAACACAGACTGCCCTCGTCTTCTGCCAGACTCTCACAGCCGATCAGCCCTTGGGCCACAGCGGCATCAACCTTAGCACGCAGTGGGGCCGCATCCTGAATTAACAAGCATCTAAAACGATCCCAAAGGGCAACGCTCCCGACCAGCCCATTCAACTCCCGTTCTCGCCAGGACCAGTGGCGGATGACCTCGTGAGTGCCGAATTGGTGGAAAATACGGGTCTCTACTAAACGAATGATAACACCGTCAACTCGTAGGAGGAAGGACGCTAACACGTACCTGTACAGATATGCAAGAAACCCTTGAGAAATAAAGACTTACCAAAAATTTGGCATCACTCGCACTCGTATTACATATTTACTACTACCGTTATCAGCCAGCTCATCCTCCCATAAGCAAACCTACGAAGATTCAAGTACCACACTTCTTTCATTTCACGATAGCATACTACCTGAGAGAACCACCGTATTGGTAGACTCCTATCAGTGAGTTGACACCGTGGCAGACACTCAGCCGAGCCCCTGATCTCATCACTGAGCCAAGGCCCTGTGAACGTGCCCCCATAAGCAGTAGAGTAAGTCCAGTCAGCCTTGGGAAGTTGCGGGTTATGATTGCTAGCCGTAGGGCTGACGACGTGCACGTCCGGGTTACTCATGTCAGGGTGCCAAGTCCTCGCAGCGGCTACTCGTACTTGATGAGGACTACACATAGAGCCGGTGATCAAGCCCTCGAGGGACCATCACTAGTACCATCTTTCCCCGAGTTCCTGCCATATATCCACCCCTACACGACTCAAGAGCCCATCGTTGGCCCCAATGGTGCCCTCCTGCCACTCCGCCACTCCCATTAGAGCATCAGTAATGTTGAAGGAAATCCGCACATTCGCAACGGGCCGATCAATAGTCAAATGAGCACCTACCACATATTCACATCTCAAGAGTTTATCATGTTTAGTTATATTCATAGAGATATATACATATGTTAATAATACAGTTTTTCTATAAACTACTATCAACATTTATCATAGATTAAGTTATAGTGGAGTTTCACCCGTGATATGAATTTCAAATCACGGGTGAAACTCCAGTCATGTTATGAAAAAGACACTAGCGAGAAATATATTTCACGACTACTGCATACCGCGGAATTCGAGTTTTTCACCGAGTATTACGCCACTTCACGTAAAACTATATATCAACTATATTAATAATAGATCTAATCGCAGAGGGCCGTAAAATATTCAAACGAGCACCTGCCAAGTATTTATAACTAAGGGTTCATCTTATTTTACTGGAGTTTCACCCGCTTTACGTGAAGTGGCGTAAAACTCGGTGAAAAGCGCGATATTCACACTGTGCAGTGGTCGTGAAATATGTTTTTCACTAGTGTTTTCCATATCACTAGGGTGAAACTTCATTATGTAAATACAGATATATATACATATGTTCATAATGTTGTTATTTTATATATCATAATTAAATCTTTTCGGTAGACTAAGCTATACTGATCTATTCATATTATAATCAAATCGCAGCGAACCGTTCGATAGTCAAATGAGCATCTATCAACTGAGGGTATCACAAGACCGATAAGAAACTTGGCCTCACCAGAGAAGACCATATCTGGGATCCACCGTCTATGGGAGGGCAACTCCTTCTCGATCTCATCCCGTTCAACAGCATCTGCAATAGCTGCCGATGGCTCTGAGGTCTCGAAGGACCAGCCCTCGGTGGAGAACTGAGGCATCACTACTGCTGAGGAGGAGTTACCATCACCCGTCCGATACTACAACACTGCTCTAGGGATCAAAATACACTATATTAGCACATTGCATTGTATCAACATCACCACGAACATGCAACAAATCACCAGCTGTGCCCCAAGTCTTTAGTTTAGCTATCAGCGTGTACTCTCCTCATCTGCCGAGGCTCCGACATAAGCCGACTCAGAATGTACCTGCCCAAGCCCTAGGACAACGGCGAGGATCAGCAAGGGGTAGTACAACAAACAGGCTCCGACCTGAGTAGCGATCATCCTGTTGCGGCCACCTTAGCAGCCACTTGTAAATAATCTAAGTAGGCATCGAGTGAAACCATCTCCATTGGAGTATCCATCAACACGCTAGATGGAATGAACGACTAGTTATCTACCTGACAGCATGGGAACTCACCTTCGTGCTACCGAATAATAGGCCACCCCATGAGCTCTCTGCATAGATTGTAATATCATCCCCGGATACCAAGATAAGATCAGTTGCTCTAGCCGACACTAGCGGTGTGATTGACACCCACCCAGGTTCGAATCCCAGGTCCTCCACTTACTCTCACAGTTCTTGAAATTGTCACTTTCAAGGGCCCATCGGGCTGGATTCTTCTTAGCCTCACGGCCCAGTCACGATGTAGAGAGAGGGAATGCTGGTGGATCCACGACGACTCGAACCATCAACAGTTCTGCTAGCGACAATGGAGACACTGTGTTCAACAGGAACACCCGCGGTGATTTCTCGCGCGCCACGAAATACTTCCACGAAACACCAGTAGCCAAAGGCAGTAGAAACGTTAACGTTTTGGTAGACGACCGCTAAGCTTTCTTCTTCTTAATGGACTTTTTCGCTGCTTTACGTTTGGGGCGAGACGATCCTCCTACTGTACGTTGCACCGTCTTCTTATCCTTCGGAGGCGCCTCGGGTTCTTTAGTAGCTTCCGCGGCCTAACGGGATAAGAAATCTCAACCTCGTGAAAATTCAAGTAATGAAATATCATATATGAAATGCTTATAATCATAAAAATAGCAAAAGTACGAGATTTGGCGATGAGATATCAAAATATAAATGGAAATTAAAACGAAATCGCTCATTAAAACTCTTCCAAACCGTATATATGAATACAACTATTCACAACGCACACAGTGTTACAACCCTAAACATTGTAGTATTATTATAATATACTTACAGGCTCCATCACGGCCGGTGGTATCACTACTGACGACTCAACAGCAAGGGTGGCGCTCGAGGAGGAGGAACTACCGCCTTGCTTGCTGCCTTGCTGATAGAGGGTGAACGCAACGTTTTGCCACTTATCTCTCTAAGAAATTGAACGGTGATTCAGAGAATATATATGATCTCAGTTCATGGACTACAATACCAAAGCAAGTGCATGAACTCATACTATAAAAGCAACATATTGTGAGTCAATCAAACCCCAGTGTGGGAGAATATGAAAATGGTCAACCACATATGTTGTTGACAATATTGAAAATTCTGAGGAAATCCCGGAAAATTCTCATCGAGTCCTGTACACTTCTAGGCGGACTCGTATGTGAACTTCTATAATCAGTGAGGAAACTCTCAAGCTCAGCTGGGGAGAGCAAACATATATTCTAGCGCTGCTCTAACACGAAGGCCCTACCACTCGATTGGCTTTGCTGACTGCCTCATCGCACGCAGGTGAGGCAAAGACGTCCTCCAGAAGACCATACGTAAGGCACGATACAGGAGACTGTTCACTCTCCCTTTCCAAATCGATTTCAAACACATCTCTTATCGATGCGGTTTTCCTAGGCTCCGTTTTCCGCGAGGGCACAGGAAGGGCCTCGAGATCATCCACTGGGGTGAGTACCCTCTGAAGTGCTTGAAATCGAGGAGCCACAGAGCCGCTAGGGTGCCTCATAAAATCCACACGAGACAACATAGTTAACCCACAAGGGGATTGGAGACTCAACTGTGCTGTAGAGACCTGACCAACGACCTCAGCTCATAACAGACCCCCTAGGGCGCTTACCTGCTTGATCGTCTGCCCACTGAATACATCCCAGATGCGCAAGCCGTCTGCTGCTACGCTCACCACTCGACTACCGTCAATACCTACCAGCGGTGGATGATGAATTGTGGGAAATAGCATCCACATGGTCAACTATGATTGTATTAGTGACACTGTGAAAATTTTCAGAAAAATTTTGGAGAATTCTCACTGATTTCTATACACTACTACCCGATTTCGTATGAAAATTTCTGAGCCCAGCTGAACACTGGAGTTTTACCCGTGATGTGAGAAACACTAGTGAAAAACATATTTTACGACTACTACAGGCCGCGAATATCGCGTTTTTCACCGAGTTTTACGCCACTTCACGTGAAACGGGTCGTGAAACTCCATTGAATTGGGCGAATATCAAACGACACTTACTGCATCCTAGGCCGAGCAGAGCAGACCCATGGGAGCCCGTGAGGACGTCGATCTCCTTGCTCTGTATATCGATCACCTGCAGTCAACACCTGTAGTCTCTCAGCAGCTCCTCCCATGAACTCACGTGCACTCTACCATCATCACCACCAACATAGAGTGGCCCTCGAGGGCTCAGGGCAATGTGGTGAACAGGAGTGGGCAGATTGAAGGTTGCCACTTGCCGACCACTCCCTCCAGGCGTGAACTCCCATATTTTCACACTGCCGTCTGCAGAGCCCGAGCTGATAAGGATCCTGACAACGAACATAATGGTCCCAGCTCCAAAGCTTTCCCAATTACACTACACGGAAGACCCTATCTTTATTACCATTGTCTCGATATTCTACGTGAAATGTTTATATGTTGAATTTATATATTGGAGTTTCACCCGTGATATGAAAATCACTAGTGGTAAACATATTACACATTTCACTTTCCGAAAAAAACAAATGTGAGCAATGAATAACGTGTGGAACACGTGATGTGTTTTACGTGATATGGAGTGATTTGTCTGGTGCAATTCGGGCAGTATTTTCACTTCATTTCTTATCGTGAATATCGCGTTTTTCCCATGAACATATTCTTCACTTGTGTTTCTCATACCACGGGTCAACATTCATTATTAGTATGCATGTAATAACATAGCATTTCAATGTACATTGAAATACATTAGTACACGTGAAATTTATATTAGTATATATTCTCGCCGTATACGACGACCCCAGCCTACTTAGATGGCTCGGATGGTCCCGCCTCCTGCAGGATCTCTAATGCATGTACTGGCAAAGTATGACCACGAAAAACACGTGCTGGTGATGGAGCACCACCTGAGATGAGAAACAACGATGATACTCCCAATCATATACGTCGATCGATGCCCTACCTCCGCCTCCTCCCGAAGTTATTAGACTCGACAAAGTGAACACCTATGAAAACCAAACTGACATTCCAAAGTAGTGTGCACTCCCACACCCACCTTCACTGTAGTGTCCAGACTGGCCGTTACCAAGAACGAGGCGTCAGCAGTAAGTCTCATTTGAGTAACTCCCGAATAGTGAGCTTTCCATGTACGCATAAGTCGTCCTGTGCTCCTGCAAAAAGGATAATATCACAACTTCAGTAAGTGGTCACTAAAGTGATGCCTACAATTGCCAGACGTATATCGCGCCGGAGACTCCACCAGCAATCAACAACTGTGCTGGCCCATCACTGAAGAGTAAACTGCAGAGCTTCTAAAAACGGAAAAGGATGAAATATTCATCGGTGGGACGCGACCACCTCCGGTGTGGAGCACTTGTAGCATGGATTCGAGGAGACTCCTCTGAGGTTATCCTCATCATCATCATCCAAGCCAGCGTCGGTCATCTTCCAATAGTGCAGCAGCCCCTTGTTGCTCTGTACCGCACATACATAGCCGTCAGCAGTGGGCACCACACTGGCCGATGTAGAATCCTGAAAGCACGAAAGCATGGTAAACGATTCTGTGCAATACAGTGTCGCGAAATATGTTCACTTCACTCAGCTGCGCTCGTGAATTTTTTCCACTAATCATAGGAGTTTATACACGAGTTGAGTTGCAACTCCACAGAAACCAGCGCGAATCCCACAAAATTTTCCTCAGAATTTTCAACACATGTGCAGTTTTCACCATGCTGATGGACTGTGCCTTCGGAAATAACTACCTTCAGCTGCCTCGTGATGGCTCCAGTGTGGACATCAATAACGAAGACGCCACTACCACTGCCAGTCGTGGGCACGAGGGCCACGTCCAACATACCAAACACACTGTGCGAAGGCATGCTACAAGATTACAACAACAACAACCCTGAGAACGCGGCTGGACTGCATCGTGAAGAGGAACACATACACCGATCTGACTAGAAATATAAAGGAATCCACATAAAATTTCCCCAGAATTTTCATATGGTCACCAAAATATGCCGCTGACCATGTGCATATTTTACCACACTAACAGCGATATACCAGTCCCATTGAGCGGCTCGACAATAATTCTATATACCAATTTTCGCACAATTCATAGTTTATACCGCTATATCGAATTAGCGCATTTACTAATCACTATATTCCTCCTCGTTAGTTTCTACACAGCGACCAACAACTACATCAAGATGCCCTTTCCTACTACCATTTCCATGTCACGACACTCCAAGCCCAGTACAACACAATAGTAATGAAGTCAGTGTGATCATCAACTGATTGTGCCTCCCCCAGCTGATAGAAGCTTCTGTACTTCATCGTCATACCGCTCATACTCCTCATCCGTCATCTTTTCCTGCAAGTCGTCCCTCTGTCGCACTACAGAGAGCTTATACTTCACTCCAGCAACAGTAACCATAACGTCAGGCTTGTCACCACCAGAGGGTTCCTCAGCCTTCAACTCGGCCTTCACAGACCGCTGAGCCATGACCTCTTGAGCCCCCGGTAGACGCGTCACATCGAAGTGCTTCAGCTTCTCCGCCTCTCGAGCTAGCTCTTGTCGCTTTACACGTTCGAACGCCTCCTTATCGAAGGAGTCCTCTGCTGGTCGCTTCTTCACTTGATCCTTATTGTGGTTCACCACTTCTATCTTAGTCGTAGTAGACTCCGTGTTGAGCCAACTCGGCGCTACCACTGCCGTCTTTCCAAAAGCAGCAGACTGATTCGGCGAAGGGCCGATAGCCTGGGGCTTCCACTCTCCAGCATTACCGAAGATCTCCTGAACGCCACTGCTAACACTAGGGCCGGTGTGATTCTCCATCGCCGCCTCCTCCTTGGCCCGCTCAGCCCGTATCTTCTCCAACATAGTCTTCTTGACGACCATAGGCCGGGGAATGTACATACCCCTGAGATGCAATTTATTGCTGCTATCAGTACAGCCCTCTACTGCGTGTGTTGGGAAATTCTTACTAGTTTCTGTACAATTCTAGCCGAATTCGTTTGTAAACATCCGAACTCAGCTGAGGCAAGGGAACACATATTCCCACACTGTCCTCTACTACCTGCATAGCTCCAACCTCCGTTCAAGGCCCGACAGCTGTTGCGTGGCACGTAGTATCCGGCTCTCCACTTCTGCTTTCTTATCCTTATTATTAGTAGCGGTGAGCTCTCTATCACATATGTCGCAATGGAATAGACCATCAGCGCCCACCAGCGAGATGGCCCTCAAGGTGTCAAACACCCGATTGCATTCTGAAGGCAACAACTATATAACCATAAGTACTATCTATAATGCCGAGAGGATATGCCTGTCAATATCAGGCATGCTGTTACTATCTAATACTCTGATACTATTTATTACAGTACAATTGTGTTTCACCCGTTTTACGTGGAGTGGTGTAATACTTTGCGAAAAACGCGATATTTGCGGTATGCGGTGGTCGTGGAAAGTTTTTTCACTAGTGTTTTCCGAATAATGGGTGAAACCCCAATATATAATATACAAAAATCACAATATAGATAGTGTATAAATGACCATATATTTAAACAGTGTGGGAGAATATATACGTAGTCGGCTACATGTGTTGATGGAAACCTGAAAATTCTGAGGAAAATTCGGGAAATTTTGGTTTCGGAATACTCGTAGCTGGATAAGTGTGTAGACTTGTATAATTAGCGAGGAAACTCCTGAGCTCAGCTGAGGGAAGCGAACAGATATTCTAATACTGCATTGAAAGCCCTGCAACTAGATATTAATAAATAATAATTTCCTAATAAACTATATATAATATAATCATATCTACCCATGGTTGCGTTTTATTATTACTATCACAGTTGAACTCCTCAGCCATTTGCCACCGAGCCAGCTGCTCCTGCAGTTGTCGTCGTACTTGTTGGAGTCGGTATATCGAAGCGCAGATGACGTTCGGGGAGAGTCGGTACCAGTTCATAGAGCTGCCAGGCTTAGCATGCCGAGAGGATTCACCCTAAGGGGCAGAGCTGAGGGCTTAGGCCTACACTACCCTAACCTGAGGGTTCTCCATCTCCACGATGTGGTCACGGCAGAGCGAGGCGTCGAGAGCTCCTCGGACTTGCTTAACAGCCAGGTTCAATCCCTGGGACATGTTATTTCACACAAACGTTGGTATCACGGATCACCTCTGCTATCTGCTGGTCGGGATAAGCCACATTATGGTTGTGAAGTAGGAACATCACTACCATGTTCTCGACATCACCGTAGAACATGCCGCACAAACACTCTGAAAAGTGCCCATGGTGTGGTATGGAAACTCAGGAAAATCGCCTCACCAACAGCATCCTTGAAAAGAGCTGGGTTGAAGGGTGAGAACCCAGGAGGTGCCCTTGAGGACCCTGGTACTGAAACGTAGTACTTATCCGACATGTTCCGACCAACAAAAACAACAACAACAACTGAGGAGCTCACTAAAGTGGGGTAACTCAATAATCCGATTTCGAAACTCAGAATCGATTCTCACACGTATAATACGATCTGAATTCCAGATTTGATAAACATCGAGACCTCTTTCGGGCAACAAGACCTCGGGCATATTTCAAACCTCTTTTTGGAGATGCATTTTTGATATCCTTACGTATGGAACCGCCAAATTTTGCCTAGGCCGCTTTCATAATCCTCCGTGAAGACTCTCGAGAAGTGTTCTTTGACCATCAACTTCTTCGAAATCAGGATCGAAGTAGTCCATCGCTTCGTGAAATTGATACTATGAATTGCAATCGCGGACCGAGGGCGTTTCAATCAGCGGTTCCGTGTAGGTCCCGGGTTCGAATCCTGGGTACCGTCAAACTTCATGAAGCCTTCTTGAATTCGTGATGGGATTTCATTTGCGCACGCGTGCAAAGGTCGGCACCACGGGCTCGATCGAGGCTGACGTGTGTGACAGAAGATGAAGCCTTCTTCTCTAGAACAAGGCTCCAATGTGATATGTCTAGCATAGCCCTTGACCTTCCATCCTCCGATCCCTTTGGTGGTGTTGCTTCACGTCATGCCGTTCGCAGTTGATGGAGGTTCTGTGATGGGAGTTTTGGCAATATGTCACGGACGAGGGTGGATCTCACAAACCCATGTGGGAAGCAGTCCACGTCCGTGACGCATTCAGTGCCCGGGATAAAACACGGCTATACCAATCAGCCACCGTGCAGATCCCGGGTGAATGCCCCCCATCTCAGATAGAAAAAAAAATATAAACACCGTCACACCCAAGATAGCTCGTCTGATGCCTAACTAAGAGTGCTTGAGGGTTTCCAACAGGAAGTCTCAAGCACTCTGGAGGAACTTTCTCTGTACTTGGGTGTGTGGTCCGAAGGTGATCAGACTGGATCACTGCTTTAGCAACGACTTGACGTCTTGCTTTTCTCTTGAAATTCCGTCATCTGTCTTTCGGCTATCCGTGAACTTGCTCTCTTGGGAGACCTTCACTTACGTCATGCCGTTCGCAGTTGATGGAGGTTCTGTGGTGGGAGTTTTGGCAATATGTCACGGACGAGGGTGGATCTCACAAACCCATGTGGGAAGCAGTCCACGTCCGTGACGCATTCAGTGCCCGGGATAAAACACGGCTATACCAATCAGCCACCGTGCAGATCCCGGGTGAATGCCCCCGCCTCATGTTGCCAAACCTCTCCCGCGTGCATGTTCGAAGCTCCATACTTGAATGCCCAACGGGTTAATTAAGGGTGTTAGCAAGTTCACGCCTGGGTTTTATGTCAGTGATCTGATTCCTTCCGCCGTTCTCGGGTCCCCAACCCATGAAACACAGGTGTGGCCTTGTTACTAATCACTCTTAAACACAAATCCTAGTGATCCCACAAACACCTTATCCGACCATCCTCAGACTATGCGGGCAGCGGGCCTCGATCACAATTACTTATGAGTTCGTGACTCACGGACGTATATGAAGTTCACCTTCTATCCACCTAGTCCAGAGGGCGGTGTACGTATTCTCTCACTATAGCTGCTCCGTGCCTGGCGAGCTTTTTGACCCCCTCGTCCCCATATGTATCGATCATCGCGTCTTGGCGCCACCGCGATATTCCTTTGATAATTGGCCTCGGTGCATCGGCACGCGAGTGATATACTGTCCCACTTCTACGGCAGGAATGACCAGAAAATAAGAGACTGCATAAGGTCTACCTCGCCAATAGAGTCCGGTAGAAACTGGGCCAAGCTTTCAACTTCCGCCGTAGACTTCTTATAGATTTTGTGGAAGATTCTGAGTGGCCTGGCCGTCGCGTCTCAGAGGCTAATCATAGTGTGGCAGCAGCACCATTTCCCCCTTTCAAAGGGGCCCTTTGTTCGCACACATCCTTCGAAGCATTACACGAGGTCTCCACGTACTCAATCCTGTTGACTTTGGTGATACCGAGGTGTATTCTAATATGAGTCCCAGGGACCCCAGGTATTATCTCAGTGATATCCTGGCTTCTTATGCGCAGCAACTCGCCGGACCTTAAGCTCGGTGATACCCCGCTGAGGAGAGCTGATCGTACAAGGCTTTTCTCTGGTTTGTCCTTGAACTGGGCCTCAGGACAGTCAAATAGGAACTCGACTGCACTCTCGGGCATTATGGCAGCGCGCTTGGCATCCCGCTGGGACCTTATACCGTATAAGTTATACGTGAAACAGCCTGCATGGTTCGCTTAATAAGCGTTTCATCCGCGGCCTCCATGGTGCTAAAGCCTTCCAGTTTCTGCAAAGTCTTTAGGGCTT